ACACACACACACACACACACACACACACCTTCTGGATCCTCTGCTGGTATTCGGCTGCTTTCCTCTTGAGCTCTTCGCTGGTCAGCCGTGACTCTCGCAGCTCGGTCTCGTACAGGTCGCTGCGGCGGCGAGCGGCAGACAGGTCCTCCTCCAGCTGTCTGATGGTCACCTGCATCTCCTCCAGCTGAGCGTGATACTCCTGAACACATCATCAGAGAACTCACACAACATGCTCTTCTGGGGAAACTTCAGCGCAGTTACACAACATTACTATAATTAGAACCATAGCACTGTCCAAGAAACATAAACATCACAGCACACGAATATGATGATCAGCCAGTACAGTGCCTGATACAGTGTAATATTTTACATGGTTATGAGCGATGCTATTTTAATATTATCCATATACTATTAAAGTTTTTATTAGCTTATATTTCTTTTTCAGTACATTTAAATTTGTTTAATTTGTATTATTTTCTCTTTTTATTTAATTGATTTCTATTATAATTTATTATTTTGTATATATTTATTATGAAATATTTTTCTTAAATATATTTATTATTTAATTTTAGTGTTTTAAAGTTTTCTGTTACTTGACATTTCTATTTTTTCTTATTTCTTATTATTATCATCATCCTTATTATTATTTTTTTTACATTTTCTAAGTTTTTCATCTAACATTTATATTTACTTGAATTTAATTTCAACTTAATTTCATTTCAATAACATTTTTTTTTTTTTTGGTAACAATAATAACCCTGGTTATTTTCTTATTATTACATATTATTTTTAAAATCATTGATTAGCCTTTTAAAAATATTTTCAGTTCATTTTCATTTTAATTTTTAGTACTTTTATTATTTTAAACTTGTTTCAGTTACTTGCCAACCTTTCTAATTTTTGTCATCTAATATTTATATTTTATTTCAGCTTTACTTCAATTAACAAAATGTTTTTAAGGTAATGTTTTGGGTATCAATAATAACCCTGGTCATGAGCAGGGTTACTTTAGTATTATTTACATAATAACAGTTTCAGCCATTAATTGGCTTTTAGTTTTATATTCTCAGTCCATTTTAAGTTTAGCTAATTGTTTTGTAATTTTATTATTAAAATTTACTATCATTTATTATTTAATTTTATTTCAGCTACTCGCCAACATTTCTATTATTTTTAACATTTTTAAAGTTTTCTTTGCATTTTATTTTTTATTTTAATATCTGCTTTATTTCAGTTAACACTAGTTTGAGGGAGTAAGATGCACTAAGGAATTAAACGAGCGGCTTCAGATAGAGACAAATATAATGTGAATGATTACAGGCTGAGATTCTCGCGAGGTTAATTGTGCTGAGTTTAGAGGTCTGAGAGAAACACACTTTCTCAAGCTCTTCACCTCATTTCAGTTCAGCCAAAGACAGCATCTTAGTTTGGATCCAACGAGGAAATATTTAAGAGACAAATTATGTTTTAGTTGCCAAATTACAGGATTGCTCGATATAGATGTTTGTTCAGAGGGACTGCGATTCACAATCTCTGACTCTCTGAAGGTCCATCATCAAGTCATTTAAAGCTGCTCTAAGTGAACTCTAATGGAAAATATCACTATTAAATGACAGACTTCAATGAATGATTATGTGTTCATAAAATATCACACAGAGCCTGGATAATGCATTAAACAACGAAACTGCTGGTCAATATTTAAGCCTAAATTCTAAATGTATCTGAATTGCATTTGGATTACATAGTTTTATCATAAACAACCTAATAAACTTAATGTTTGATGCATATTTTTCAGTCTTACATAAATTAAACCGTTAAGAAACAGGTCAGATTTCTGCACTCAAAAAGTCACAGCATAGTTTATTATTAACTATTTGTGATCAAATTATTAACTATTTATTAGTTTTGTAATATAAAAAATTAGTTTTGTTTAAATAATCATATTTCAAAATGCATTTATTAAAATTTCTTATAATCAGCTATTATTCATACTTTTATGAATATTGTATATTATATATTATATAAACATGGCTAAAATATGACTAGCTGTGGAACAAGTAATATTCAATCAGTCAAAATGTATTTTTGCATTTCTGCATTACATTTATGATCAGTTCAGTCACTTCTTTCAGAGATGCATCTATCAAAACGAGACATCTCAGTAAAAGAACTTATGCTTTTTAAAGATGCAGCCCTTATTTTGTGTGTGTGTGTGCGCGTGCGTGTGGGAGTGTCAGTGTGCGTGTGAGTGTCAGTGTGTGTGTGTGTGTCTGTGTGAGTGAGTGTGTGAGTGTCAGTGTGTGTGTGTGTGTGTGTGTGTGTGTGTGCGCGTCTGTTTGTGTGTTGATGTGTGTGTGTGTCAGTGTGTGAGTGTCAGTGTGTGAGTGTCAGTGTGTGAGTGTCAGTGTGTGAGTGTCAGTGTGTGAGTGTCAGTGTGTGAGTGTCAGTGTGTGAGTGTCAGTGTGTGAGTGTCAGTGTGTGAGTGTCAGTGTGTGAGTGTCAGTGTGTGAGTGTCAGTGTGTGAGTGTCAGTGTGTGAGTGTCAGTGTGTGAGTGTCAGTGTGTGAGTGTCAGTGTGTGAGTGTCAGTGTGTGAGTGTCAGTGTGTGAGTGTCAGTGTGTGAGTGTCAGTGTGTGAGTGTCAGTGTGTGAGTGTCAGTGTGTGAGTGTCAGTGTGTGAGTGTCAGTGTGTGAGTGTCAGTGTGTGAGTGTCAGTGTGTGAGTGTCAGTGTGTGAGTGTCAGTGTGTGAGTGTCAGTGTGTGAGTGTCAGTGTGTGAGTGTCAGTGTGTGAGTGTCAGTGTGTGAGTGTCAGTGTGTGAGTGTCAGTGTGTGAGTGTCAGTGTGTGAGTGTCAGTGTGTGAGTGTCAGTGTGTGAGTGTCAGTGTGTGAGTGTCAGTGTGTGAGTGTCAGTGTGTGAGTGTCAGTGTGTGAGTGTCAGTGTGTGAGTGTCAGTGTGTGAGTGTCAGTGTGTGAGTGTCAGTGTGTGAGTGTCAGTGTGTGAGTGTCAGTGTGTGAGTGTCAGTGTGTGAGTGTCAGTGTGTGAGTGTCAGTGTGTGAGTGTCAGTGTGTGAGTGTCAGTGTGTGAGTGTCAGTGTGTGAGTGTCAGTGTGTGAGTGTCAGTGTGTGAGTGTCAGTGTGTGAGTGTCAGTGTGTGAGTGTCAGTGTGTGAGTGTCAGTGTGTGAGTGTCAGTGTGTGAGTGTCAGTGTGTGAGTGTCAGTGTGTGAGTGTCAGTGTGTGAGTGTCAGTGTGTGAGTGTCAGTGTGTGAGTGTCAGTGTGTGAGTGTCAGTGTGTGAGTGTCAGTGTGTGAGTGTCAGTGTGTGAGTGTCAGTGTGTGAGTGTCAGTGTGTGAGTGTCAGTGTGTGAGTGTCAGTGTGTGAGTGTCAGTGTGTGAGTGTCAGTGTGTGAGTGTCAGTGTGTGAGTGTCAGTGTGTGAGTGTCAGTGTGTGAGTGTCAGTGTGTGAGTGTCAGTGTGTGAGTGTCAGTGTGTGAGTGTCAGTGTGTGAGTGTCAGTGTGTGAGTGTCAGTGTGTGAGTGTCAGTGTGTGAGTGTCAGTGTGTGAGTGTCAGTGTGTGAGTGTCAGTGTGTGAGTGTCAGTGTGTGAGTGTCAGTGTGTGAGTGTCAGTGTGTGAGTGTCAGTGTGTGTGTGTGTGTGTGCGTGCGCGTAGGGACTGATTGTTAGAGGAAGATGTGGAGATTGAATCGGGCTGATATTGATCGGAGGAGACTGACAGTGAAGGCTGTGTTGTGGATCAGATCTGCCGAGACGTCAACCAGTAAGACACTTAATTACTGCAACATAACGAGAACAAAACATCCAGCATGCTAATAAACACTCACATACAATGGAGGCCTTTTAGTAATCTGCAGTTATCATCAAGCAAACACCAATGTTCTTCAGATGTGCAAGAAATCTAGTTCTCTACAGGTATCTTCAAAAACAACATGTCTACATTATAGCAGCAAACAAAACATGTTAAATTTTACATAAATGTTGGTAGCTACAGCATACACTACTGTTCAAAAGTTTGTGGTAAAAATTAATTAATAATTAAGAAATTAATACTTTTATTCATTAAGGATGAATGAAATTGATCAAAAGTGACAGTAAAGACATTTATAATGTTACAAAAGATTTCTAATTCAAATAAATGCTGTTCTTTTGAACTTTCTATTAATCTGAAAAATAAAATGTATTACAGTTTCCACAAAAATGTTAATCAGCACAACTGTTTTCAACATTGATAATAATCAGAAATGTTTCTTGAGCAGCAAATCAGCATATTAGAATGATTTCTGAAGATCATGTGACACTGAAGACTGGAGTAATGATGCTGAAAATACAGCTGCGCATCACAGAAATACATTACAGTTTAACCGATATTCACACAGAAAACAGCGGTTTTAAATTGTAATAATATTTCACAGTTTTTACTGTTTTTTTTATCAAATAAATGCAGCCTTGGTGAGCTTCTTTCATAAAATCTTTGGCCAGATGTATAGATAGCAATGGAAAACAGGAAACAGTCAGGCTGGAAACATTTTTAAAAACTCAAAACTTTCGCACACAAAACAAAGATCTCTCTTCATCTGAAGGTTCAGTTTGCTGCTGTACTTCTCTGTAAATCCTGCTGGTTTGTGACAAAGCCGTTCTCAGATCCCAACGTACTCTGGGTTTAAAAACAAGCTCGACACAGGTTTGCCAGCACAAGATTATCCACTAATAGCTCAGTGAGTGAAATATTATCCCCCATAATGCCTTGAGCTCATGTTCATGCACACATACATAGAACCAGTAGTTAGTGGACTATGGGTTAGGAGTAGGACTATGTTTGATTGGCAGAAATCTTTTTCCAAGACCAACAAACCATGTTGATCACATCCTACTGGGCAAAATCACAGTGATCACAATGGTTTGTATGTAACCAGAGACTACAGGAAATCAAACCAGTGCAGTAGTCAGGAAGAACACTGTAGCGTGTGTTTGTCACAATCACTGACAGCACATTATACTGAACAAACGACTACATGCGGAAAGGAAAAACACCAATAAACGTGGAAACCGAGGTAAAAGCAACATGATTTGCTTGCAGAGGAACTTAATGATGCGTGATGATTATCGATTAGCCGGCATTTAGACTGGCCTCAATCATTCAGTGCATAGCAACACCCTAGCAACCATCCCGGGTACCCTAGCAACCGCATAGCAACACCTTAGCAACCACCCTGGGTACCCTAGCAACCGCATAGCAACACCCTAGCAACCATCCCGGGTACCCTAGCAACCGCATAGCAACACCTTAGCAACCACCCTGGGTACCCTAGCAACCGCATAGCAACACCCTAGCAACCATCCCGGGTACCCTAGCAGCCGCATAGCAACACCTTAGCAACCACCCCGGGTATCCTAGCAACACCCTAGCAACCACATAGCAACACCCTAGCAAATGCCCTGGGTACCCTAGCAACCGCATAGCAACACCCTAGCAACCGCCCCGGGTACCCTAGCAAACGCTCTAGTAACCACCCCAAGTACCTTATTGGGCAGCACAACTGTTTTCAACATTGATAATAATCAGAAATGTTTTTTGAGCAGCAAATCAGCATATTAGAATGATTTCTGAAGGATCACGTGACACTGAAGACTGGAGTAATGATGCTGAAAATTCAGCTTTGATCACAGGAATCAATTAATAGTAAAATAGCTGTTAAAATTTAAAGCGAGGATCTCACAGTAATGGTGTGGTGAAGTGTGGTTGTTCACCTGCTCCTTGATCTCCTGGAGTTTGTTGCTCTGTCCTCTGATGTCATGGAGGAGCTGGAGAGCTTTATCATCTTCCTGTGACACTTCAACACGAGCCTGCTCCAGACTGCGCTTCAGACTCTAAACACACACACACACACACACACACACACACACACACACACACATCTGTTATGTTGAGATGCAGCGGTGGTTGGAACGCAAGGTCAGAACAAAAAATGAACAGCGTGCCAAGAGTGCTTTTATCAGCGGGTGTATTTGCATTAAAGACAGAACCACACACATCTGTTATGTTGAGATGCAGCGGTGGTTGGAACGCAAGGTCAGAACAAAAAATGAACAGCGTGCCAAGAGTGCTTTTATCAGCGGGTGTATTTGCATTAAAGACAGAACATCAAGAGTGCAGATATGAAACCAAGTCAGTTTTGCTGTTCTAGATATAAAACAATAGATACGTCCATCAGAGAGTGTACTGATAAAGTCCTGCTGTCAGAGGGAAAACACACACTCCTGGGGCCGAGAACTAAACAACTAGCAGTTAGCCAAGGGGTAATCAGCCTTACTTCTTCATCTCAAATTAGACCAATCTAGGTTTATATTTTTCATTTTTTACTGACATAAAAATTTTGACCGGGTTTGAAGAAAAAGAACAGATGTTCAATGTGACCTTGTGATTTTAGTATATTAGTAACAATGTTAATGCAACAATAGTGATGTATTGCTGTACATCTATTATGGATAAGGATGCACACTATATCTGTGACCATGTTAATAAGAGGTGGGAATCACAAGGAGTTTCTTTCTGATTATTTTAGTACGTTGAGGAAGCGCCCAATAATTTTGGATACTCTGTAACTTCTCATTGTCAGTTAGTAGTAATGGCTCGGTTTATTTTTAGATGCATATGATCAAAAGTAATGCTCTGGGGTTCAGTGTGAGTTCATCTACAGTGAGATGAAAGTCGTTTGGCTTCAGCACTTTTAAAAGAGTAGATCTTGATCCCCAAACACAACATTAGTTGTGAATAAAACTTATATATTATTGCATAAAATATTTGTAAATAAACACCATTTGCTTCCCGTGTGCTTAAGAGAACAAAATCTTCACTTCCTGGGAAACTGGTGTAAAGTATCAGCAACAAAAATAATTTAAAAAAAAATGTCCCCACATAATAATGATTTGTGCCTCAGAGCGTGTAGGTGAAATGCAATAACAAATGCTATTCTGTAAGTGTTTCCGTTGTAGTTTGTGTACACGTTTTCTTACCAAATTAAAAAAAAAGATCTGTGCCAAATAAGCACATTTTAAGCACATCTTGGTGTTTCCATGATTTAGGTTTTTTATGCGCTATTCCAAAATTTGCATAAAAATACGTGGATGGAAACAACAAAACAGCAACTGCCTTTCATTTACATACACGAGTCAGTTTGTGTACATTCTGAAATCAAATTACTGCATTTTCCCCCAAACTTTAACACAGCTGAACCAATGCTTATATTCTGGTTTAATTTGTAACTTTGGATAGAAACATAGCTTGTGTTGTGTTGAGGATCAAGATCCATGTAAATATAGCAATTGATGTTTTAGACAATGGATGACTAAAGCACTAAACAACAGTTAACCATCTTTAAGGACCAAAACTGCAAAAATTAAAAATAAATGTAATAATAGGAAAATAAAGAAATAAATGACTTGATAAAACAAACACAATTCATTTTTAATTATATTTAGTCTTAATTTTTACTACTTTTTCCTTTTTTAATTATTTTCTGTATTTATTTTCTAACTTTATTTTTATTCTTTATTTATTATTCTTTCATTTTTTTATTTATTTGCATATTTATTTTTATGAATTATGCACATAAATAAATTGCATTATTTAAATTTGGAAATAAATGACTGTGGGAATAAATACATAAACACTTAAATAAATAAAATTAATTAATTAATTCATGAATTAATTAATTCATAAAAAGAATAAAAAATACAGTTAAAATAACGAAAATCAGAACTAAACTAATTAAAAATCAATTGTTTTTGTTTTCATTTATTTATTTTCCATTTATTACATTTTTTTTAATTAATTTTTTTATTTCTGCAGGTTTGGTCCTCCATACTTTTTTTTCCCCTGATATTTTGCCAAAATTTCTTTAAATCGATGCATCTCTAATTTCTTGGCCTTTGAGCCAAATTATCCTACTCATTTAAAGCACAGATTGCTTGTCTCTATAAATGAAGTGTATTATGATTAATGAATGACTATTATTATACTAGAATGAGAGTCTGAGCATCACTCACGCTGCATTCGGTGATGTAGGTGGCGAGGTCCTGCTCCAGGATGCTCCTCTGGGTCTCGGAGGCTTTGAGCTCCACATCTTTCTGCTGGAGGACTGACTCCAGGTCAGTCATCTTACGCTGAAACCGTGAGATCTCTTGCTCCATCTGAGTAGCCACAAACACAGGAACCAGGTCTAAATGCCATTATCAATCTTTTAGCTATTCATAAACACAATAACCTTTGTCCTTCGTTACTTTTGATATGAAAAAGCATGAGATTTAAAATTCTGTAAATTTCATCACAAAATGCAAACAATAAATGTGGTTGTGACGCTCTTTAATGTGGCCTGTAGTCGCACATGAACCAATCATCTCTTCTGCTTTACTTCTAGTTACAGCACCAAATAAACAAGACTGAACATCAGAATTTGTTGAAAAAAGCAGAACAACTTACTGAAATAAACCATTTCTCATTTAATCGATCAATCAGTCAGCGTTTCAACCGCAGAAAAATGTCAATAAAACAGCTTGTAAACAATGTCACGTATAACGTCACATTTACCTCAGGAAAGCCATTCAATGTCCATAAACTCATTAGTTGGCTAGAAAAATAACTCTAGAGAGGAGCATTTTGATTAATATGTCCACTATATTACATATTCATTATATTTTTACTTAACCTGTTCTTCAACATTTAATGTAGGTTTGAAAAAAATCTAACATTTTATAACAGCCACCGTTTAAATATTTATATTTCAACAACAAATTGGAGTAGAAACAGAATATCCTTTAAAAAATGATTATGATAAAAACTGCTTTATGTGCAATTTAAATGTTTGATACGAACAAGTTGTTCATTTTAACTTTATAATATTACAGTAATGTACCAAATGACAGGGTTCTTTGGAAGCTTGTTTCCATCACAGAATAAAAAATAAAATAAAAAAAAAGTTAATTCCAACTTTTTAATCTCAAAATTCAGACTTTTTTCTCGAAATTCTGAGGTTATATTTCATAATTCAGATTTTCTTCCTAGCGATTTTTTGCAACTCACAATTCTGAATTTTCTTCACAGAATTGCTAATATAAATGCAAAACTGCAAGATATAAACTCGCAATTCTAAAAAGAAAAGTCTGAATTGTGAGATGCAAACACAGTTCTAAGTTTTGGGAGAAATTGCAAGGAAATGTACAAGTTGGTGTGTTAATGCAGTTTAACTTATCCCAGTTTATTATCTGTATTCATTCAGACTCTACCCAGAAATCGCTGTGCTCTTACCTTGTGACATTTGTCTTGAGTGTCTTGCAGTTCTTTGCTTTTGAGGTGCAGTTTTTTTTCCATGGAGTTGGTCTTGGCAGGAGAGTTGAGCCCTGTGCCAACCGATCTGATTACACAAGGAAAAACACGCCTAATCAGAATCATAATACACATGCATGTACATTAACACTCATCTAGTTATAAATCTCCAAGATAAAGCCAGAAGGAGTGTGTGAGAGGTTTTGTTTTTCCTGGGAATGTAGGGAATATCACACTCATGCATGTCTGCTCAGCCTTTCACATTCATTACGCACTCCATTAGTTTCATGTGAATGTGAATTCATTCAAAACCAAAGAGCATCATCTTTATGTGGCGTCTATTAATTAACATGACATGAAGTAGACGTTAGGGAACATTCTCATCAGGAACACTAACCGCAAGTGTCACCAAACCACAAGCAAATGAAGCAGAAAAACACATGAACTGATACCTAGTTTCATGAGTAAACACATTGTGCTGCATCAGATCAACCACAATTCAGTGCACAAATGACATACAGTTGTGCACGATTCAGATTTTAATTAGAATTGAGGTTTCAAAAAGGATGCAGAACTGTAATTTTAATTTCAATTAATTGTAAATCTACTTCACAATCAAATTCAAAGAAATTGGTAACTTTACAATAAGGTTCCTTTAGTTAACATTAACTGACAATGAACAACATTTCTGCAGCATTTATTAGACTTAATGTTAATTTTATAACATTTACTAATACATTTTTAAAATCAAAAGCTGTATCTGTTAACATTAATGCACTGTGCTCTTACGTGAACAATTAACAATTGTATTTATTTTACTGACAAAGGCTAATAAATACTGTACAATCATATAGTTCATAGTTAGTTCACGCTAACCAATGCATTAACTGATGTTAACAAATGAGACCTTACTCAAAAGTGTTACAAAGAAATTAATATAACTGTATTTTTTACCTTTGTCAAGATAAACTTTACAAAATATGCTTGAAATGCCACCTTTAGATATTTGTATTTAGTTTATACATTTCATCATATTTATTAAATGTACTTTTGTGGAATAGGGTGGAAGAACACATTTCCCAGAATGCATTTTGCATATGCAAACCTGGGACTGAAATTCAGAAAACTGTGAAGAAATAATGAATGTAAAACTATGACTGCTTCCACACAGGTTTCCCAAACACTCCTCCCAACCCTTTGACTCCGCCCTATGTCTGCCATTGGTCAGTCAAATTGATAGACTCCTCCCACACTCACTGAATCAGAAACTGATAAGCAATATTTGGAAAGCAGCACAAATGCTCTTCAGGAAGCCAAAGTACCAATGGATTTCAGTTGAAAAGTTCTCACAGAGGAAACCAAGACACAAAGAAATGGCTAAATATAGAGAAGCGACCGCCTACGACACGTGAACCTCAGAACAAACTAACAAAGACAGAAAACAACTTGAGCTCCCACATGCATCATATGCCAGTGATTCAGAACTGATGAAATGTTGTCTGACGGAAAAACATGTTCCAGAAATAAAGAGTGAAATCCCAGCCGCTGCACAAACAGATGGAGAGAGAATAAAACTGACAAAAATACTGCAGCGGAGAAAAGATGAACCAATCGCAGCAGCTCGTGAATATTTGCTCTGACCGTCGTCAGTCCTGAAGACCTTTAGCTTGAGCTTAAATCCCATTAGAAACACAGTCAACAGTATTCATGTGCACAAAGTGTTTAGTCTGCTCAGTGTTTCCTGCTAAAGGAGACGTCTGAAATAGAGAGAAGTGCATTTTGGCCAAGCTTTTCTAATATGGTGTGTCCCTCACAATGTTTCAAAGTCCATTCCTTGAGCTTCCTCTGGATAAATTCCCATCGAAGAACTTCAGCTCTTCCTGCATCCCAGAAAATAAAGGAAGACATTTACAGATGCTATCGGCTTCAACTACCTCTGGTGAACAAATAAACTACAGAAGAGCACTGAAGAGTACAGAATAGCACATCGTAGTATAGTACAGTACAGTATAGTGTAATAATTTTGGTCAATATTGTCACAAACATACCGTCACAATTATTTGTTATTATTATTTTTGGAAACATCACACATTTATTACTTTAAAAATGTTCTTAAAACAGCAACTTTACAGCCGTAAACAGAAAAACAATCAATCAGAATTCAATAATTCTCTTAGATTTTTAGACGGAGGCAATTACCAAATCCACGTGTTTATCACACCAGTGTACATATTTTGCGACAGCAAATCAAAGCTATTAATTATGAAGGCTATAATTCAAAATAAACGGATAATATTATCTTTTCTTCAAAACTATCTAAAGAATTTTAATGTGTGTGAGAATAACATTTAATGCTATTTCAGGCCTTAATTTTCACATTTCATGACTTGTACTGTTTTTCAATGCTCTGCTGAAACCCTGTATTAGCAATATTAAAGTCAGTGGAGTTCAGTTATTTAGTGTCCTCGTGCGATAGTTTCAAACTGAGAAATACAGGCAGAATTGATCAAAAAAACACATGTAAATGTATAGCAATGTAAATGCACTCCAGTCTAGTTTCACTAATCTTGGTACCAACTACTGACATTTTAGACATTATTCTTTGCCTCACGTCTGTACAGAACACAAAACCAGGGCTCCAGAAGAAAAAAATAAATAAATAGAAATCACATTCATTTCCTCCACAGAGCACTATAATGTATAAACCTTTAAAGACTCCAGATTCATCACGCGCTCTGAGGATGCTAAGCTTCTGTAGAGGCACACGTGAGCTTCATTTTATGACCATCAATCATGTTTGAAAGCCAAACTGCTGGTGAATACACTAAACAATAATCGGAGAATTCGCTGTTACCATGGAAACAGAAAGAAGGCTCAGTGGTGACCGCCCACTCCCATGAAGCATTGCGGCTGATGTAATCCAATCAGTCTGCCTACACTCACAAACTACTTGTTTACTATAGCTACATTTATTTCTAATGAAAGTTCAACTTTATACTTTTCAATATTTCAAAATTGCACAGTTGTTTCTGGTTTGATTCCATTGACCTTGATGCACTAAAATAAATAACTACAACTAAAATAAAAAATTATAAAAATGTTATACAAAATTACTAAAACTTTAAATGAAAATTAAAAATAAAAATACTTCAAAATATATTCAAAATATTAATAAAAACTATAATAAATAGCTTCAATATAGTAGTTATAGTACAGTATAATAGTAATCTCAATGACAGCAAATTAACACTGGTTAGCAAAACTGCTCACACATTACGATTTGGATGCTGTGAAATCAGTTTCATTTTTGCATAAGTCTGTTTTATTTTTCCCAGAATTCTGTGTTTTCCATTTTAATTTTTCTGGATTCCATTTTAATGGTATAATGACATTTTTATAAATCCAAAAGAATGCCTAATCAATTGAATAAAACATGAAACTTGAATCAATTTAATAACTTATTAACATTTCAACAATAATACTTCACTATGATTTTTTTTTTTTGTTTGTTTTTTTTGGAAATTGTGTTGTCTGTTTTAATTTTCCTGGATTCTGTATTTTATGATTTAATAAAAATGTATCATCAAAAACATTGGAAAGTAAATGAATGCATAAAACTTTAACAAATTAATCCATCTTTTAAAATGTAATCAAATAATTTGAACGATTCCTTTTATTTTTTTTGGCAATGTGCAGCTCAAGAGGTTTATGTTTTAAATTAAAACAGATGAAAAACTGTGTTATATTCCTTAAAAATTAATGTTTTAATAAACTGTATTATTATTATTTCAAGAAGTATGTTCTACATGCAGAATTCCTATTTACATAGTCTTTTTGTGCTTTAATAATCACAGGTACTAGTCCATATCACAGTTTAATTCCAAAATTCTGTGACATTCTGCTTTATACAGTAAATTATTGTATCTGTGTAATAATTACATCTGTGTTTTCCACATCGTTGAAACCTAATTGTGATTATGGGAGCATGACGGCACGTGTCCTCCTATCAAAACACAACTGAAAGAGCTGTGAAATGGAAAATCTCGACACTTCCAGACCCCCTCGAGAGCATCTAAACGCACACAAACACACCCAGCTCTAAACATGCTTTCCACGGCATCATACCAGTGGGGTCTAACCAGATTAGAGGTTCTGCCTGTTTGCTGTAAAGCAGTCCATTACCCAGCGCTTACAGACTTCCCTTCGGAGAAACCGACGCGTCCCAGGGGTCTGATCAGAACGGCCCACAACCCACTCGATTATGGGGCGCATGCGTGTGTGTTTGGGCTTAAAGTGTAATTATAGGCTATGCATTTCAAACTGAGCCCTTTGAGAAATTATGTGTTCTTAGAGAAAATCCTATCTCAAAGGGAAATATAAACTGCAATGGGAAAATATCTTTGACCTTTGAGAATTACATTTCACATTAGGCTTCAGGTGGAATTCAATTATTACAGCATTGATATCGAGCTATTGATAATTCAAGGCAAACTTGCAGAAGCGCGTCAGAGCATCTTGCTCTTTTCGCCTGAAGTGGGCGGCAGTCACATTGACTAACTCTGGGCATCTGCGGCGGATGTAAACACACTTACGCATTCTGTGAATACAGCAGCTATCGATCTGCTGAAGCGCTGATGCATTCCTACATTGGCTATTCTTAGCGCAGCTGACTGACAAAGACGAGGCTGACTCACAGCCTATGTTCGGTAACTGTTCGTCCTGCGGCGACGCTGTCAACCCGCGGCGCTCACACACGCTGCGCTGCATCGATCACATCGAGAAAGGTCAGGCAAACAAGTGTGGCAGGGAGCATCTAAGTGACCATCCACCGATACAGATTTCATAGCGTTCATGAAGAACGAGGACTTTCACACACACACACAGAATCAGCAGATGAACTGCACTGGTCTTTGGACATTTGCTCTGAAAATAACACTTTTTTCACTAAATGAACAAGGAATCATATTTAAGGATTGCCACATACAAGCACCCAATATACTAAAAAAAATGACAGAAAATAGACAGTTTGAATTGATTCTAATCTTGAACACTAAACATGTTTTTTGCTGCTTACATTTAAATGAGAGACACTATTAAAACATCTGAACACTCACATAAGACAAGCAAAAATCGCACAATCTTCAGGAATCTTACAGGACAAATGTGACCCTGGACCACAAAACCAGTCACAAGGGTCAATTTTTTTTTAAATTGGGATTTATACATCATCTGAAAGCTGAATAAATAAGCTTTCCATTGATGTATGGTTTGTTAGGATAGGACAATATTTGGACAATATACAACTATTTGAGAATCTGGAATCTGAGGGTGCAAAAAAATCAAAATATTGAGAAAATCATCTTTAAAGTTGTCCAAATGAAGTTCTTAGCAATGCATATTACTAATCAAAAATTAAGTTTTGATATATTTACGGTAGGAAATTTACAAAATATCTTCATGGAACATGATCTTTACTTAATATTCTAATGATTTATGGCATAAAAGAAAAATGTATAATTTTGACTCATACAATGTATTGTTGGCTATTGCTACAAATATACCCCAGCGACTTAACACTGCTTTTGTGCTCCAGGGTCACATATAAAAAGTGCACTAGAATCAGCACAATACTTAATTTAGCATTTTTTCCCCTCATCTTAATAAATAATTAAATTATTTGCTACTTATAATACTTTTATTTGGAAGCCTAAATGCATAATGTATTGTAATGTAGTTAGTATATTTATTTATTTATTGTTTATTTTGGGGGGACATTTTTTTGGTAAAGTTTAAGAATGTATATTATAACTGCAATGGAAAAATATTTGACAATTTAAATATTTCATGAATATTCACTGTCACCTCGTGCAAAAAGGAACTACACTTACCTGCTAAATACTTGATCAGACAGCTGAGAATTCATATTTGCTAAGCTCGATGTTAATCGCCAGGACACGATCATATTCATGATAACTGCAATAAGACCTCAAACCAGTCGCAAACACTAGTATGCTTTTAAATCAGCATGCAAAAAAACAAATCTACTCAAAGTGATTGGGGTGGCTGGAGTGAGTCACGTACTTTAAACCCATGTGATAAAACGTGTCTAACATGTCAGCAGCCATCCACATATTAAGAGAAGAATAGAAGAAAACCATCCTATCACTGTTTCCAGATCAGATACGGTCAGAATCATAAAGCACAGTATCAAAATACTTCAGATAATCAGAGGGTTTGTCGAGGTGAAGCCGTGAAAACTCCTACTGGAACCGAAACACGATAACGTCGCTCAACGTCGGCCAACAATAATAATTCTATCATCATTTACAAACCGTAAAGATGCTTTAGGAGCCGAACAGCCCCTGGTCACTGTATGGAAAAACACTGCGTGAACAGACAAATGTCAACATGAGGGAAAGAGAATGAGGACAATATCTCATTATTGGACAAACTATTCATTTACTGACAAACCAGTTAGTCTTTGAATTATCCAAGCAATTAGAGCACTGACTCAACCAAAAACAAGCCGTCTCTCCAGAGACACTTCAGCATGACATTCATCATATCATTAATGCACTTTTACTACACAATGGGGTAAAATGTTAAATGCGACTAAAGAGTGCGCAGCGTTTGCGGTTGTCTTTTGCTTTGTTTTGGGAGTCAATTAGTTGTCAGTGACAAATGTTGGCTGATTTTACTGTCAACGCTGACAGATATATAGATGCGGCTTACATTTGTATTTCAGTTTCAAATCAATGGGATTAATATAGTTGCATTTATGCATTAAGCAGACGCTTTTATCCAGAGTGACTGACATTAGATTCAAGTTTACATTTGATCGGTTCATGTATTTCCCTGGGAATTGAACCCATGACCTTGGCATTGCTAGCGCTGTGCACATCATATTCAGTATCTGAACAACATTTACTAGTGTGTAAATTAGGGCTGTGCGATTAATCAAAATCGTCATAAAATCGCGATTTGAGCTTGCGCGATTTCTAAATCGCGTTATAGCACGATTTTACCGCGCCCACGACCTCCCGCAGTATGCTATCCGAACCAATTAGAATGCAGCGCGCCTAAATGGAGCACGAGAACAGAACAGACCGGGCAGGCATACAAACGTAAGGACAGGTTCACACACTCCGTCTGTGGTGCGTATTTTTCCGCGCCCATGTTAACGGATCAGAGCGTTCACACTGCATGCGATTGCGGTCCGGCAGTGCGCTCTAGGAGCGGTGCATCTGCAGCAGTCATGCTGCGATCGTTTCCGCACGGAGTCTATTTCTGCTGTGCTGCACGCGCTGAATTAAAGTGGCAGCGCATTATTCGCGGTAAAAATTAACATGGATTGACACGGAAATTAGTAATTACACCATAAATGCATATAATTAAAGTCTACTGTTTCAGTCAACACATGGCTTTTTGGCTAGATTTAAAACAAGGAAAAGTGCACTTTTAGATAAACAAGGCAATAATAGATGGCACTCGTGGTGGTAGTTAAAGTTATATTTATTGAGTTTAAACGTGAATATGTCTATGAAAGATTGTATTACTGTACTGTGATAAAAGAGAATCACAATGCTGAAAAAGCATTTTCAGAAACAACGTTTGGATTTGAAATCAAAATAATGGATAAATGTTGTGTTTGTGGTAAACAGCCGCGGCTCAGGAGCGGACTGCAAATGTGTCCTGTGCGAAAAGCAAAATGAGTACGTGCTGCTTGCTTTTGACCGAAATAACATGCTTCACTTCTAAAACTCCCTTATATTTCCAGATTTCCAATGCACATTTCACCAGACATTTTACCCAATTACTGTGACACATCTTGTCCTGGTGAATCTGTTAATAAGGAAAGAGACACACAACATCTTTGGCACGACAGATCTAGTGAGCAAACACACAAAGGTTGCATGTGAGGGGAGTCCACACGTCACAATAGCGCCACTGCAACCCGATCAGACACGACTGGACTGTAAATCAACAATCCTAATGTACCTGAGATGTTTATCTATTGCACTGCCTGATAATGCAAGTGCAGTACAAAAAGAATGCATGTCTGTGCATTTATGAAAGAGATGTGCGGTACATGATGCATGCATCATGACACAATGCATGCATTTCTGAAGCGTGCGTCAGTGAGAGCGGTTTACTACCGGTTTTCGCTCATTACAGATGTTCTGTTTGCCTCAAGACGGATCCAGCGCTCTCATATCGCAGCGCATCTCCAGAGGAGCCCATCCACCAATCAGCAGCTGCGCTTCTGCATTAACATTCCCACGCTCCTCTGCTGGAGCCGCTTGTGTTGCATTCGGCGGATTTCATGGTGCTGGAAATGCTATATGAAGAAGACTGCAACAACGTGACACACGCCTGGACAAATACGCATTTCAGGATTAAAGAGAGAAGAAGCGTATGAATGGATGGAGAGACGGAGGGGGAGCGTGTGAAGAAAACTCACTCTGGTTACCATAGAAATGCATTCTGGGTTCATTCTCATTCTGACTAACATTTATAAAGCTTCACCTCACCCTCTCTTTTTCCCTTCAGTTCCTTGGGGGGGGGCGGGGGGACGTGATATTTATGGCTCATCTAGGATCAGATTCCTGACCGAGACCTTCACTTGATTCGACACATCATGATCATACAACACGCTTGAATGCATTTAGAGACACAGGGAAACACTGGGCAGCACATCACACACACACACACACACACAAACACATTACTGTAATGCATCCAGATGTTTTACTTTCGAGTCATTCTCATTATTGCAATACAGTTATTGTGATTAAAATCAACAAATTAAAGCACAACCACAACCAATGATGTTTAAATACTTTACAATGATTTTCCACATTACATATTTTTTATTGCATTATAGTGATGAGAACTGGGGTCAAATAAAATAAAAATGAAATAAATGATGTTAAAAAATCATTACGGTAATGAGAATTTGTTTTACATTATGGTAATGACAATTGGGGGGGGGGGGTGAAAAAAATTACATTAAATTTAATTAAAAAAAACATCACAGTAGTGACAATTCATTTTGCATTATAGTAATGAGAATTGGGGAAAAATTAACATTATAGTAATGAGAAATGTTTGCATTATGATAATGAGAATTGGGGAAAAATTTAATGAGACAATATTGTTTTTTACGGTGATAAGAAGTTTTGCATTATGGCAAAGAGAATTCAAGGAAATTTAAATAAAAAAATATTATAGTAACGAGAAATGTTATTGTAATTATAACTGGGAGATGAAAAATTTAATTACATTTTTAAAAATGTTTACATTATGTAATAAAGAACTGGGAAAAATTAAATATAAAATGGAAAAAATATATTACAGTAATGAGAATTATGTTTGTATTATAATAATGAGAATTGGGGAAATTAGCTTAAAATTAAACTAAAAATATTACTGTAATGAGAATTTTTTGGCATTATGGTAATGAGCATATGGTTTTCATGCTTTTCTTCTGATTCAGAGATGAAACACAACCCAGACATGTTCTTAACAGATTATTGCGAGATTCACCGATCAAAACACCAAACCGAACGATCAGACGCAAATGCAAACCAAAACAAACAGACTGAAGGTTGACCACATCGCAGCAAACACAGAGCCGATCACGTTACAGTGTTTACATACTGGCTTTCATTGTGCTACAGATCATATCACACACACACACACACACACACACACACACACACACACACGCGCCAGACGAGGATTTCCCGTTCCCCTGCATGCACATGGCAACACGTGCATGAGATATTCTGAGTCTCCTGATATAAAAACAGCGGTGCGCACACGCGGCTCCCTCTCATTCATCTTAAAGACATGTGAAGTGAGAGAACCGCCGCTTTCCCCACACGAGCAATACCTCGCATTCAGCCACAATGTTGCCTGGTGACAGTCGCCGTGGTGATGTGGCCGTCTCCGCTCCAATGGACCACCTGTGACTAGACTAGTAAAATCAGCGTGCGTGTTTGTGTGTGTACTCACTCAGACTTGGCCAGTGTGCTCAGGGCCCGACTGAAGCACCACCCTACAAAGGGCAGGTCTCGTCCGTGGAAGCCTGAGTGAGGATGATCTCGCTGGGCAGCGGCTGCGGGGTGGGGGGGCCTCTCGGGCTCCTCGAAATTGGAGGTGTCATCCTCAGAACACAGAGACGGAACGAACGGAGGGAGCGCTGGAGGAGACGAGAGGAGAAAACCTGTGAGGTGGTCGGTGAGAAAAACAGACTGGAGGGAGGGAGAGAGAGAGAGAGAGAGAGCTGCATAAACAGCTGTATTGACACACACACACACACACACACACACACACACAGTATCTGCCGCTGGGGGGTTTTTGTTCAAACATTTACACAATTGGTTTATTTATCTAAAAAACACCAAAACAACAACAAATCACAGAAGGATCTAACAAACACTACATCAGTGGCACGAGCACATTGACTGCATGAGCCACGTGATGATTTCAGCACACACTCAGAGCGGTTCATCAGCTCATCTGAATATGTTAATCATCTCGATTTATCTCAGGAAACTGACAAAATGACATTATGATTGCAATAACAAGCCTTTGAGCTGCAGGTCAATTCAACATACAATCAACCATAATCACATCAGATGCACAGAAATAACAACGGTCTTTATTTTTAGCGATATTTTTCATGTGGTAGCAGTCAAACAATATGAATTTTATAAGTGATCAAAATGTATCTAGAGAGCAAGATGACTGCAAATAAATAGGGCAGTTTTTTGTTGCCAACATGAGTATTTCAGGTCAAAACATTTACATTTATATAAGGTAAAGTATGTTTTAGATGCTATAACAAATGATTAAAAACGGTTTAACAAAAAAGTTTTACTGCATACAATTATTTTTTAGCATTTTTAATAATTTTTGTATAATAATTATATACATAATAATTATGTATATATACATACACAAACAAACACACATACATATATATATATACATACATGATGTATAAGGATTTTCAACAGGCAAATTTTAAATAAAAAAAATAGTAATATCTTTTGTAGTTGTTCAAACATTAAGAATGTTGTGTACATATAAATTAATATTAAAATTTTAAATTAAGTGATACTTGCATTTTTTTTCAGTGGATACGCCGTCATTTTTGCTCATAAAGGTAAGAGTAATACATCATTCGTAACTGTAAAGAGCCTACGTTTATTTGTGTGCACTCACAATATCAACAAAACGTTGTGCTTTTATAAAATAAAGAAAACAAACATGAGGCGCTTTCTGCCGTCTCGTCTTGAACAGGAGCGCTTCACAAAAATGAACCACAAAAACTCTTTCATTATAATCATAATCCGTAAAGATGCACTTCTCTCTAAAGGCGCGTCTAATGAGGAGATGGTCAGTCAGGGTCGGCAACTTCATCCGACACCGACTCAGAAAACACTAGTTTATTAGTAAATAATTCAAATATCTCCTCACTATTTCCCCCTGACACATTTATGGTAATTACTTTTGCTGGTGCTTTGTGGCAAGCTTAAGCCTATTGCGCGAATTTGAACGCAGAACTCTTCAGCTGCGCTGATGGCACACTCCATGCTGCTGCTGCTGCGGGACAATAAACACCGTCGAGCCACTCTTGGCAGTCGCGGCAGTACGGTCTCGTGTTGTTTCCACCAGCGCGGCAATTTTTTTTCAATCGCTAACTGATGGATGTCTAAAATATAAAAATAAGGAGAAGCCTAAAACATTCCCGAGGCCCGGCCCGCGTCTGAACTATGACGTGAAAATTGGCCCGAAGCCTGGCCCGAGGGGCGTAAAAAAGTCGGGGCCCGTCAGCCCGGGCTGAAATGCAGGAATCTACTGAGAATGAAACACGACTGCCCCCTACTGGTAATGTACTTCATGTGCCAGAGAACTTCACAACGGGCCGCGTCTTGCCGCGGCGGGCAGGTCATGGGATCCCTTTCCCTGTGGAGCGCATTTTTAAAGGCCACATCTGTATCACGATGATACAGGGGTTGCGATACGATATGTTGCGATACATTGCAATACTGTAAGCAATGCGATATATTGGGTATTTCTTATTTTAGGAATAGGATATGATTTTAGGAAAGCTGTTATTAAGAACACACCACCATCTTAGCAAAAAATAAATACAAAATTTAACCAGAACACAGTGGGATCTGCATTTGCATTAATCAGTCCCTGTAACATTCAACGTTATTGAACCACTTTTTGTGCAGTACGAGTAAAGGGGGAAAAATTAAAGTGCTTGCAGGATTCTTTAGTTAAATGTATAAAATGTAAGCTTTTATAAACAGACCATATATATTTTTAGACCCTTCTTTAAAATGTTCACACTTTAAGATTACAATTGTAACATACAATGTCATAACATTTTGATCTGAACAAAAGAATTACATCTGCTTAATATCAATGAAAAGTAAAGTGCTTGCAGGATTCCTAAAGAAAACAAAACAATTGTAAAACAATAAAATATATAAAGATGTTGAACATTCTCAGAACCCTTTAACTTGGATTTCACAGGTTTTTCAGTTTGTATTTATGTTCAGCATGGAATCGCCGAGATCACAACACGAACACCGCCCCAACTGCACAAAACATTTTCACATTTTTAATAATTAACCTACAGGACGAGCATATAGGCTTATGCATTTATGTATTTATGAAGAGAACAGATGAACAGAGACTGTGCTTCACTTTTCATGTTCAACACCAACACCAGTGACAGCGAAGGCCACTAAAAACAACAAAACATGCTAGGGCTGGGCAAAAAAAAAAAGATTTCTCGATTTTAATAGATTCTAATTTTTATGAACCAATATCGATTCTTAAACCCCAATCGATTCTGTTTTTAGTTGATGAATGAACAGTACATATAGTGCGCCTCCCATCCAGTAAATCGCAATGGGCTATGCTCTGTGCGTTGTTACTTTTGATATGAAACAGTCTTAGATTTCAAATTATGTGTGCATATGTGGCGTGATGGATCGCTGTAGACACCTCAGTTTAAGCGAAGTGGCAGCGCACATGAACTGATCATCTCTTTTGCTTTACTAGTGGGTACTCACCTGTACATAATCAAAGGCATAGCAAAAGACTGGTGACAGTTTTATTTTTGATCTGGAGACTGATGATCCCGCGCTCTGCTGCCACACTGGACAGGGGTGAGAATTACAGTTATAAATTACAATAGCTCACCCTCAGTGTAATCTGTCAAAGTTACGGACGGCCTTCAGATTTTTCCATCACTGCTAAAAAAATTCCGTCAATGACAGAAAATTTTCGGTTAACGCAACCTCTGGTCCCGGGGCAGACATTACCACAAAAGCCGAAATAATGCCAAACTTCAGCTTTGTACACCGAGTTCAGAAATAAGAAGACTGCTATCTAGCTGTTGGGATATAAACTCAAAACAAAACAACTGTCATGAATCTTGTATGATTTTTTTTTAAATATCGATATTGCGTTTTTGAGAATCAATACAGTATCGCCAAACAAAATATCACAATACTCACGTGTATCGATATTTTCTTACACCCCTACTTTGCTGAGCGCAAAAAAAACAATAAGCTATACAAAGCAAAACGCCATTCTGTTCGTAAACACATAAGTCAGCATAGGCCTAGTTCTTTAATAAATCAGTCAAACAGATGATGAATCAGTGTGAATCAAACACAAGAGTCATTGGTCTGAATCACGGACTGAACATCCTCACTGAATCAGAACGAAGTGTGTGTGTGTGTGTGTGTGTGAGAGAGTGAGTGAGTGAGTGAGTGAGTGAGTGAGAGTGTGTGTACCTGGTATTTATCACATTATGGGGACCAAATGTCCCCACAAGGATAGTAATACTAGTAAATTTTGACCTTGTGGGGACATTTTTGAGGTCCTCATGAGGAAACAAGCTTATAAATCATACAGAATGAGTTTTTTTGAGAAAGTAAAAATGCACAAAGTTTCCTGTAAGGGGTAGGTTTAGGGGTAGGGTTGGCGTAGGGCAATAGCACATACAGTTTGTACAGTATAAAAACCATTACGCCTATGGAATGTCCCCATAAAACATGGAAACACAACATAACGTGTGTGTGTGTGTGTGTGTGTGTGTGTGTGTGTGTGTGTGTGTGTGTGTGAGTGAGTGGGTGAGTGTGGTGTTATCTCATCAGGGTTTGGCTGTGTGACTATCTGAGCCCTTCTCTCTGTGAGAACACCTGCACACTCCATAATCTGACTAATTCCACAGAAATCCACCCGCTGCCCCCCAGAGGATCACAAGTGTGTGTGTGTGTGTGTGTAAGTTAATGCATTAATAAACATATGATGGCTTTTTATTTTCCAATAAACATAGTTTGTTATCAGAGTGTGACTGCAAATGCTGTCATATGATATCAACTGATTTTCCAGTGCTATATATACAGTATGCACATCACTACACATGGTAGCACTACTGCAATATATTTACTGTAATAAAGCAGTACTAAATCTGTGATTCAAGATAATGCTCATGCTGCCCAACCCGAGCTAACAATCCTAAAGTCTTAAAGCAGATATAGAAGAAACTCTGAGCTTTACGCCACAGGCTTAATGAATTATTTCAGATCATCTGTGTTTCACTTAGGCATGGGCCGGTATGAGATTCTGACGGTATGATAACCTTAGATAAAAAAAATGTCACGTTTCACGGTATCACGGTATTGCGATTACAGATCTAAAATATGTTATTTTTAAATGTCTGGGTAAAAAAACAACTTTTTTTTTCCACTGAACACATTTTATTTTTAAGAAACATATAGAACATTTTGGAACAGTAAACATGTCAGGCTAAATAATTAGAATAAATAATTTAATTAATTAAATGCAGTCACTTAAGTGAGCCTAAACCTGCAGCTCAACAATAATCAGAACATAAATAAATTATTTTCTTTAAAAAAAAAAAAAATCCCTATAAATGAAAAAAATTCTGTCACTTAAGTGAGCTTAAACCTGCAGCTCAATAATTAAAAATATAATCAAAACATAATTTCTGTAAAAAACAAAATAAAAAAATTAATAAAAAATGCATGCATAAACCTGCAGCTCAACAAGGTTTTTGGAGACATGCTCGCTTTCTACACATTCATCTTTCAGTCCAAGTTATGATGCAGGAATGTTCACCTTTCCCGGATTAAGTTCGGAGCTATGGTTTGGAGCGGTGAGGTACGAGGATGTGTGCGCACACACACATAAGGAAAGAGAGAGCGCGAGTGTCACACACACACACACACGTGCACGCGGTCTCTCCGTACAACACTCAGTGGCAACGTGTTTTGTTTTTTTATTGCGTGATTTTGAACAGATGTAAACAATGGCAGGAGGCTTAAAAGTATAGACGTGATACCAGCTAAATTTAATTATTGTACTAAATCGCAGAAAAGTAGGCTACAGTACGTACTTTAGACTGCTATTCCTCACTCTGTGAAGTAACGTGAGGGAGGAAACTAGTTGACGTTAGCTAGTTAATTAGCCATGTTATCTGCCTCGGTAGCAAGCCAAATAGTATTTATTTCAACACTGAAACAAACGGTGGGTGGGTCTCTGTCTTGATCGGGGGTGAAAGAGGGAGAAAACCGAAGATGACACAGATATATAGTTTATGTTCGACTTGGAAGTATTTATTTAGCGATCGGCGCTAAAACGTCATCTGTACGGAACATCATTGTGTACGGAACATGGTTAGTCTACGTTACCCGAAAAATTCCCATACGACAGACTTCGTCTTTTTCGACGGGGGAAAAAGTTCCAGGGATTCATCTCCTTCGGCCATCCTACACACAGGTGACTCCGCTCGCACCAACCGGAGAGGGAGGGGTCATGTGACTCGCTACGCTCTTCGCTGCACACAACTGAGGGAGTCCTGCACTTTCCGTCTTTGACGACACGCAAAAAAACTGCGCATACCGCAGGAACGGTATAACGGAAAATTTTAGTGGTTTTGAAACCGTGACTTTTCCAAACCGCGGTATACCTTGAAACCAATCTGTGCACTCAGACACATCCCAGCCCACTATAACAAATCCTGCAATTACACCAGAGAAGTAATCACTAAAGGCGACAGAAATAGCAGCAAGTCAGGCTAATGATTAATAACCTGTAATTAACAGGTACATGGAAATATTACGTTGCAGACACATTGACGAGGCCTCTGATGGCAGCGCGGCTTTATTGTGCTTCAGAACGAATTAACTTAACTCCGAGCACCGAATGTCTTACCGTGTCTCAGGTTGGTCCAGTCGACAGAGGAGAAGAACGGATGTGAGCGCAGGCCCTCGTATCCCAGACGCTCCCGCGATCCACATAACAAACTCTGCAGCAGGTCGACAAACTGAGCGCTGGCTTTGGGTTCCTCTGGAAACTTCAGAAAACGCTGGCAGCAAAACACAAGCAAGAGAACATAAATTTTTGCATGCAGAGTTGGGTTTTAAATATAAAATATTTAATTGAAAATTCCAAAAAGTAAAACTAAACTAAACTAAAAAGAAATTTAAAATAAAATCAGAACTGGTGTCAAGCATATGCTAGATTATTCATTAAATTTCAAATGAACACAATTAAACACATTTAGAATTAAGTCTCACTTCCAGGAAACTGAAAAAAAAAAAAAACGTATGAAACAAGTAAAATAGTATAATTATTAAAAGTTAAACATAATGCTGGCATGATTTAACATTGTTTATCATTAAATAAATAAAAAGGAAAATCATATGGAATCATGCATTATTAGGGTTGCAAAAAGTTGGAAAATTTCCAGTAAATTTCGGAAATATTCCAGAAATTTTGGAAACTTTCCAGGATTTTTTTTTTGGAATATTCCAGGGATTTTTGGAAAGTTTCCGGAAATTTTCCACCCCTTTGCAACCCTATGCATTATACATATATGCATTATAAAACCACATATTTTTACTAAACAACTTGTGTAGCAAAATGAAAAATTCTGGAATGCAAACTAATCAGTGAATCCGTGTTTTGAACCTACTCATTAAAGCAACTATTATCTTGGAAGACAAATAGTGTAATTCAGACTGAACTTCCAAACATCACACCCTCAGCAGAAGCTGCTAGATTCACCTGAAAGTTCATGATGTTGTTGATGGTTTTTGTGGACGTGCTGTCAGCGAAGGGCGATTTCATGTAGATCATTTCATAAGCGATGATGCCCAGAGACCACCAGTCGCTCTCAGGGCCGTAGCTGCACGTCGGCCCTCCATTGGGCGTGGACAGGATCTCAGGGGCCAGGAAGTCTTGAGTGCCCACCGGGAGTTTGGAGCATGTGACCTGCCCCAGATAACAACACCGTTCAATTCATCTGTGTCCAAACTCTGACTGTTTAAAGTGGATGTGTAACATGGTCCATTAACACCACATTTAAACATATTCAACTGATATCAAACATGATCGGTCCTTCCTGAACAGATCGAAAGGCTCCTCTCTGAATAAGTTGACATCAGAATGACGTCTTCACACTCATTACCGTTCTGTTAGCAGTCAGTCTGGCTGCTGATCCAAAGTCGACCAGTTTAATGTGACCCGTCCGGTCGATCAGAACGTTCTCTGGTTTAATATCTCTGACAAAAGAAAGAGAAGCAGAAATGAATGAGGACCAGAAACAAGAACGAGAGGATTTAGTAAGAACTAAATCCTCTACTTTTTACTAGGGGATTTTACTAACCTTTAAAATAAAATAAAATAATATAAATAAATAAATAATTAAAATTAAATTAAATTAAATTAAATTATTTAATTTTATTTTAATTAATTTTAATTTTATTTTATCTTATTTAATTTTAATAAATGTTATTTTATTTTATCTTAATTTTAATTTTATTAACACTTAAAATAAAATAAAATTAAATTAATTAAAATTAAATAAGACACCGCACGCATTATGATAGACCTATAGAAAAAAATATTTGAATCTTTTTCTTTTCTAAGAATGGCTTAACTTGAAGTGCTGTAAAAAAAAAATTGGAAAAAAAAATATTATTTTAAGGTACTTTATGATATGTTGCCATACGGCAACAGCATACAATAGTGGATCTAACTTAGAATAAGTGTAAGCTTACTTATAATTAATATTTTTCCTCATAAATGTTGGTTGTGTTGATTCAATTGGTGATATTATAAGCTTTTAAACAGTACTTACTTATAATTGACACCTTATACATACTTTCCAACAACTAAAACTGAAGTCTTAAAATTAACTTTTAGCAGGACAACACATTTACAATTCCTCTCTTCCAGGAAAAATCAAATAAACACAAAAAAAAACATCAGTCAAATGTTCAACAGAAAGAGAATGTGTAATACCTTTATAGCAATAGAAAATAGTAAATCATGGTAATGGCTGGGACAAACTAAAGGATTTTGCTATTTAACAAAGATAATAGTGTGTGTTTCGTTGTACCTGTGCACGTATCCCATCTGATGGACCGAGTGAATGGCCTGCACGAGCTCCGCCAGGTAAAACTGAGCCATAGACTCGTCTAACTGATCTTCATATCTGTTCATCAAAGCCATGAGATCACCGCCAGGCAGAAACTCCATCACCTGGACAAAACATGAACTCATGAACAGCATTTGATGCAATGGATTCAGTCAAAAACATTAAAAAAAAAAAAATTATCAGCTCTCAAAAGTTTTTAGGCACTTCAGTCAAACTTTAAAAAAATGTAAATATCATGGCATTAGAAATAGCAAAATACTAAACAAATGCTACAAGATTTTTCTTCATCACTTTTGCATTTAATCAGCTAGGGTTTTGATTTTAAAACCTCTTTTACAAATGTTTTGTTTTGTAAAGTGTGCAATCTTTCTTTATAAATGACACTTGTTTTGACATTTTATCCAATGAAATGACAGTCCGAGTGCCTCAGAAGTGAATGTAATGAGCACATAACGAGTTTACAGTAACTGAGCATCATGTGTACAGCAGACCTCACAACGTGATCTTGCGTAATAATAAACACCTGTAAGTGAATCTATTATAGCACAAAACATCTTCGTACGGTTGGTTTAATTAGCAGCCACTCGTCTCGATCACACATACACATAATAAATAAAAGCTTGTGATTACACCATTACCATTCTAATTAGCTAATTAGCTTAAAAACTGCATCTCTAGAGAGCGGCGTATGTGCAAACCCAAAGAAAAACAGCAGAGAAAAGCACAGAGAGAGCGGTATAGGAATGACTGCGTGGTTATTTATAGGCACAGTATCTGCCACAATATCAGACTGAAACCACACCACAGGCTCAAATTAATTACTCTATAATAGATCTGAACATGTAAACAGAGAGATTTCTGATGTATGAACCTCACAGACTCCAGCACAAGAATGTATGCATGCAAATGTAAACAGTTAATTATTTATTGTGATTATTTGGTGATTTACAGCAGCGCTGCATCTCTAATTGAGCATCGGCAGAGTCTCGTCTGACTGATACATCAATAATACATTTTAATAAATGCAGAATAGCATTTTACTGGAATAGAACATGAAAGTGATCATAATCATTAAAATTATGTCCCGAAATTCCCGAGAGATTATACAAGACTCGTTCTCTCATTAAAACACACTTCACACACTGCTTTAATTCATCTACTAACAACGTCCAGTGTGTTTACATGCGACACACAGCAATTCTGTCATTTTTCTCCTTTATCTCGAGAACATTTCCACCACAGCTCAGATGATTTGTTGTATTTGATCACATTCTGTGGTGGAAAAGACATTCGAAGCATTTCTGGAATAAAATGTCTGATTCCTTTCCTTTGTCTCAATGACACAATGATAATACTGTTTTCATCACACATCACGTCTCATGTTTCTCAAGCTCTGTGTCCTGGGTAAACAAGTACACTAACTTCTGATGAAACATAAGAGACAAAACTGCTAGTAATGGTGAAAAAGATAAAATGCACACATTTTTCATTAAATATTTTTTCATGACAAAATAATGTATTTTTTATATAAAATTTCTATAAAACTATAATTTGTATTTTATATATTGTATATATTTCATATTTATAACAAAATAATTATATAATTATAATTGTATTTATTATATATATCTCAAATTATAATATATTTTGTATATTTAATATTACGAATATAAATAAACTTCCCTCCACACCGTTACTAAAGCTCAAACGCACTCCGCACATGCTCCAGATGAGATCTGCCCCTGTGTGACGGCTCTGGGGCAAACCAGCACCACACAAACAAGCACACAGAACGGTGCATGAAAACACACATACACACGCCCACACAAACACAGACAAGAGAACATGAATGGAAAGCAAAGCCGGCGGGACACAAACGGCAAGCCCAGGTATCCTAGCAACAAGCTAGCAAGGGTCTTTTCAGCGCATCGCTCGGGTAAAGACAGATTTCTGTTTTTCCCCCCTCTTTTGCTGGGGGCGTCTGGAACGAGGGAGGTGGCAGAAATAGAAACTGTCTCTTTAGTCACTTGGAGCTTCATGCGTTTGCCCTCATGAGAAGCTGGAAAGCCTCCACAACACCCCACAGATACTGCGTAATCACTGTCTGTGCAATATTACACTAAAACACACCTTAATAATACTGTAACACTGATTCCAAACAGACAATGTTGTAATTATAAGTGCTGTTTAATAAAATTAGGGATTCCCTGAACAAACATATGTGTCCCTGCAGCACAAAAGCAGTCTTAAGTCGCTGGGGTATATTTGTAG